CCAAAAATAGTGATCGACAATATTAAATTCTAGATTGATCGATACTTTCGAAAAATAAAAAAATGAAGAAAATAACTTTTGAGAGATTTAAAATCAGCCCAAAAAAATAATCGAAAACCTTGATCGTTAAACTTGACTGTCCCAATTGATCGGAACTCGTCGTCTCTCCTCTTTCTCTTTCCACGCGTTAATACACGTATATTCGCGTATCTGACAGCCGACTGACTTTGCAGAGAGCGGATGCTTCTCGGAAAGGAGCGAGTCCCTCCACTATCGACAATCAGTTCCCGTCGCACATTCGCGCGGGAACACCACGCAGCCAAGGATCTTCCCCTTCTCTTCGAACCTGAAAGCTTGAAAACCTCGGATCATCCAGCCTCGCCGCTTCTTCCACGCGCACGCACGCGAGCAATCTTTCTTTCCATTCCCCTCGTGCCGTACGTGACAACCACCGAGGCGGACGGACAACCACTCTCCTTCTCAAGAAGAATCAATCCCTGCGATGAAAACGGCCGTTTCGAAAAGTTCGAGGTTTCGTGATGGGATCGGGATCCGTCGGAGGCTGTTCAGTTGAAAAGATTTATCGGGCAGGGGGAGAGGGGGGGGGAGCGATATAGCGGGTGAGAGCTGTTCGATCGAGTTTGGAAAATCGATGGGAGGAGGAGGAGGTGGTGGAGGAGGAGGAGGTGGCGATTAACGAGCGGTGAAAAGGATGTAGCAGTAGTGNTAGTTGGAGGAAATCGATATCGTTTCTAGCACGTGGCTGGCTTTAAACTGGCGGTTTAGTTTTGAGTTTACGCCTATATAACCTCGCTTTAAAAAAAAAAAGAAGAAGAAGAGGAATAATTCGAATTCGTTTGCGAGTGTGTCGTTTGATCGAGCGAATCTCTCTTCTCGAGAAATCTTCTTTTCCCTTTATGACGTTCTCTTTTTTTTTTCTTTTTTTTTTCATGTTAACTGAGAGCACAAGATAGAGAAACAGTGTGTAGTAGAAAGTTAATATAGTAGAAGGTAAAAATCGTGGTGTGCCGATCGTGTTCACAGGTTTCTATAGTCTCTCGACAATCCCCAAGCGAGGGATCTCTTCTCTCTCGGGAAGATCAGTGAATAAAAATAAAAAACAGTGTTGAAAATTGTTCCAATTGTGAAGTGCAAGCTTGTTAATCGGAGAAAGAAGAAGATCTTTGAAGATACGTGAGGAATTGTTGTGTAAGAGGAGTCCTAGGAGTCTGGCGCCTTCATAGAGATCATCCCAAAGGGGGAGGGATCGTTGAGAATTTTGTAAGCGAATTGAGAGCAAAGGCCTATATTGTATCAAATTTTCATCGTCCATCCCGAACTTCATATTTCGAGTTCTCGCCTTAATCATCGATAAAAAAAATCGAATATTCCGAAAACTTGGTCGTCGATGATCATAAGATAAGTGGGATAATAATCGATAAGAGGAGAGGAGGGAAAGCTTGAGAGTAATTCGATTAATTTCGAATTCGGCAACCCTCTTTATCGAGTTGAAAAGGAGGGATTCTCGCGGCTTATCGGCTCTGATCCAAAAGGAAACTTTTCAAATTATCCTAATCGGATGAACTGGGACTGAGAATACCTGAGAACGGTATTCAAAAAAAAAAAAACTATCGTCGTGAAAGTAAGCAACGTAAATTAAATAATTGTTCGAGACAATCCAAATACATCCTCGAATCGAGGCCAATTAAGAATCAACTAAACTAAACTAAAATAGGATCATTTCTATCTAGAGATATATTTAAGACATAGATGTTGGATCTCGACTTTCAAGGGGCTCAACAATTTCCAAACAACTTTTTCGAACCAACCAACCCTCGCCACCGAATTTCTAGCAAAGCTATTTCAAATAAACGATATAATAACAATACTTTTATAGATTCTAGAGAAGGAATTCTCAAAGAATTCGACCATCAAGCTGGACCAGCTCAACCAACTCCTCTTGCTACATATTTTTAAAGGCCAAATCCGACTCAGCCTATTAATCGTCACTTGGCAACTCGTGGGATCTACTTTCCCAGGCCTCTGAAACTATTCACTCCACCTGTTCACCACTCTGAAAAAGAAAAAAGAAAAACAGAGCGAAAGAAGAATTCTCAAGAAAATCCTCTTGTCCACTCGACTCTCGTAGATTCTTCTTCGCGGCAACTTTCTCGTATCCTCGCGTCTTCTGGACAAATGGGAAAGCGATGTAGCCCGTAGCCCGTGCACGGGTTGGGGATCCGCTTGTCATCCTACGAGTCAACGAAGAGAAGAAGGGAAGAGAGTCGTGGAAGAGCCTGGTGTAACCGGCCCTGGATGTTTTGACGCTGAGTGGCGCTAGGGTGTCGAGGTGGGGGGCGCGTGGTCTTGCTGCCTGCCGTGCGCCAGTGGCGGCGGGGGTGGGGGTGGTGCAGCTGTCTCGGGGGCCACCCCCGAGGCTAAGAAGGGCTCCATCGGCCACAAGTGCCAGCAACAGCAGCATCAGCATCATCATCAGCAGCAGCAGCAGCAGAGCCAGCATCTGCTGCAGCATCATCATCAGCAACAGCAGCAGCAGAAGCAACAGGAGAAGGAGAAGCATCAACAGCAACAGTACCAGCAACAGCAGCAGCAACAGAATAGGGGGTCCGGGTTGAGGGAGGGCGAGTTGGCTCCTCTGAGCAATCTCGACGAGGATCTGGACGATCTTGAGGACGAAAAGGGGATCGAGCAGAGGGGGGAGGAGGAGGAGTACGCCAAGGAAGGTGGGACCCAGCATAGGTTGAGCCCCAGGCTGCACGATATCGAGGAGGAGGACGATGAAGACGGCCGTAACACCAAGGAAAGGTCAGTGCACTGGCTTGGCAGCCCTTCTGGCTGCTCTCTATCTACATTCGATCACTGTAACGCGATCGAAATACATTTTTCTCGCGTCGATCCTGGCCACCTTTCATTTTCTTCCATTTCTTTCTCTCTCAATCTTTTCGAAAAGATTGCTTGAGATTTTTTTTTTTTTATATATTCTCTTTTCGATTTGTTGAAAATAATAATATTTATCCTGCGAAATTATTCTATAGCGATGAATGAAATGGAAGAAGAGAAATAAGGTAGCCTAGATACGGATTGACCGATAAAAGAAAAAAGAACAGTACGATTGCGTTCAACTTTATTTCGAGCGTTAATTAAACTCGATGGTGCGGGATACGGCGAATACAGATGTCGAAATTATATCGAACTTTGAAACGGACAAAATTAATTTCATTGCGGATTATAATCGAGCGTGTAAATAATCGAGAATTGTTTTTAAAACGAGATCGAAATAATATTCCTTGCTTGCTACTCCGTGAAACTTTCATTCGTATGCGTGGCGCGAAATTATAATAGTCGTTCGAAAGGTAAAAGTTTCAGACATCTGTTGCTGCTGTAACTGTCTTTAGGTGGACGAACTTTCCCTTTTGGGTCACACGTATCTGAGTGCTTGTCTCCTTTTCAAGATTCTCCTTTTCAACCTTCCCCATTCTCCATCGACTTGACACGAAAGAATGGAAACTCTTCTCGAGTTTCTCGCTTTTCCCCATTTCTTCGGAGACATTTTATCTATTCTACCTTTGCAACGGATTGCAAAAAGAAAAAAAAAAAGAAAAGAAAAAAGAAAGGAAAAGAAGAAAAAAGTTTTATTCAATTTTACCATTATTAGAGTTAAAGTTAAAGTGAATATTAACTCAGTGTGTATTTTCCAATACACAGATAATTCATCTCGAGTAGAATACTATTTCATTATTTTTCTTATTTTTTTTTTATTATTAATTTATCAATCATGTCTAAATGCGAAAATCTCGAAAATCTGTTGGATATATTTATTGCAAGATTTCGATTTTCTTTCTTTGTCCATTGTTATGAAAGAGAATAATATCAAAAAAATTGGATTCTTTTCATTTTCCAGCATCGATCGTGTTAATAATCTCTTATTGGATTGCTCTCCGTTTCAACGACCCTTCGACATTTCTTCTATTAAGAAAGAAACTCGATGTATCATCGAGAATCTTTAATGATGTCTGGTCCATATCATGCCTAATCATGAGATTCACAGCGACAGAGGCAATTCAATCTGCTCTGAATCGTGATTCTGGGATCGAGATAGGGACAGCTTTATGTAATCGTCGCCTAGCTGTCTTCTCCTCCACTAACTTGAACCTCATAATTTATTTGTCTCTTTTCACTTATTTACTTAAGAGAATTTGAGAATTAATAACACGATGAAATAGTAACTGTTTGAAGTCGATGATATTTTTTTTTTTTTTTGAAGAAAATGGATTCAATCTGATAAATTTGGTCCAAATTGTTCATATATCATGTATTTCTTGAATGTCAGAAATTTTTTTTAGCTAGTTAGTAAGCTTCCAGAAATTTTCTTCATTTTTTTTTTCTATTCACGATCTGGCAATGATAAATTTTGTCCAACTGTTCATATATCATATATTTCTTGAATATCAGAAATTTCTTTTAATCAATTAATAATCTTTCAGAAACTTCTTCTTTTCTTCTTTTTTCTTTTTTTCGATTCATGCTCTGGGAATAATAAATTTTGTCCAATATATTTCTTGAACACCAGAAATTCCTTTTAACCAGTTAATACTCTTTCTTTTTTTTCTTTTTCTTTTTTTTTTTTCTATTTATATTTTGGCAATGATAAATTTTGTCCAACTGTTCATATATCATATATTTCTTGAATATCAGAAATTTTTTTTAATCAATTAATACTCTTTCAGAAACTTTTTCTTTTCTTCTTTTTCCTTTTTATTTTTTTCTATTCACGTTCTGGCAATGATAAATTTTGTTCAACTGTTCATATATCTTGATATATTTGTTGAACATCAGAAATTTCTTTCCAGAACTTTTAGTAACCTTCCAGAAACTTTCTTCTTCTTTTTTTTTTTTTTTTCTATTCACGTTCTGGGAATGATAAATTTTGTCCAACTGTTCATAAATCTATATTTCTTCAACATCAGAAATTTCTCTTAACTAATTAATACTCTTCCAGAAACTTTCTTCTTTTTTCTTTTATTTCTATTCACGCTTTGGAAATAATAATTTTTGTCCAACTGTTCATAAATCTATATTTCTTTAACATCAGAAATTCCTTTTAACCAGTTAATACTTTTTTTTTCTATCCACACTCTGGAAATGAAAAAGAAGATCGTGTATGAGAATAGATCGAAAATGAAGCAAGTTTGAATTATTGGATGAGGAAAGAATGATCGATGGTGGTGCCCTCTCGAATCAGAAACTCGAAATATTCAACTAAATAGAATAAAGAAAAATTTCATTCCATTAGGTAATACTGTATAACGTCTATGAAAGATATTTGTTATATTGTTCCTTGTACAAAAATTTGATAATAAATTTAATGGAAAATCGGAAAGAATGGAGAGAAAATGTGAAATTCCAATCGTTGGTTATCCGTGATCCGGAAAGATAAACCACAATTTTTTCTTTCTTCCTTTCCCACACATTTTTATTCCTATTCCTGTGACGTTCCAACTTCCAAGTTTGGAATATCGATTCGAAGAACGGAATTCTTTACAGGATTCTTAAAATTTCTTCGGTGAGCAGTGTGTGTCGGTGAGATATCGAGTCGTGTATATTTCGATGAATTATTTAGAGCGCTATGTCAAGGGGGTGAATTAATCTTTCAAAGGGTGAAAGGGATTTTCAAATTTGAAATGTGGTTTATTGATAGAAGGGAATCTGTCTCCCTTTGTCTGCCCGGATGCTCCTCCCTTCTGTCCTGAAATTCGATGTTCTTTGACAAGGATATACCTCTTTCGATGATACCAGATTTTCTATTCCACGTTTTATATTCTTGCCGACGCTGCTATTTGTCATACGTGCTCTTTGAATAAAAATTGGAATTTTAGAAAAAAATTTGTTCCGTTTGAAAAATTCAAATTAAGAAATATCGAGAAAATGAATTTTAATACTAAAGAAATAATAAATTAATGGAAAAATATTCGTGGAAGAATCTTTCGAGATACGAGTTGGATAAATATTTTTTGGGACACGATTTATCGAAGTTTTTTAACATCAAAATATTTTCCTTCAAATGTATGAAATCATTTTTCTATGTAAAATGTAACACAACATCGAGACAACGTTGCTTTAAATAAAATATTCAATTTGATCCAAACGGTTTGATTAGAACGGAACAATTGATTTGATTGAATTGATTGAATTGATTGGCACACGTATTTATGAAAATGTCATGTCCCCCATTGTGTGAAGTGACGTAATAAGAAGTCGAGTGATTATTTCATTAACTAATCCATTATGAGATTAATTCTATATGTTATATAAATTTCCAATTTTTGAAATATTTCTTTATGTAACGCATGTAAATAACTCTGAAGGAAAAAGTTAGGTAAGCGTATTCTCATATATTCTAGAAAAATGACAACAAAGAGGATGCGGAACTATCTGCATGAAAAAAGCTTCTTCCAAAAGAAGGATGTTGCGTTTCACGAAGCAGGATCTTAATACAAAAAAGGATAGAGATTTTAAAAAGATTCGATATTCAGCTACTTGGGATAGATCAAGGCTAATTTTAAATCCCTCAAAGGGAAATTAAAAATTTTGAGAAATTATTGAGACATATTGAATTGATTGGATTTCCATAGAATCTTTAATTCAGTGATTACTATTAGAAACATTTTCATTGTTTCACACAGCAATGATAAGTTACATATTAATTTATTCATAAAAGAATCCTTTGATTTGTAAATCCTAAAAAATTTTTCCATGGAATCCTAATTCAATGTTATTAACATTTATCAACATTTTCATTGTTTCACAAAAATATAAAGTAATGATTAGTTACATATTAATCTATTCATAAAAAAATTCTTTGATTTATAAATCCTAAAAATTTTTCCATGGAATTAAATGTTATCAACATTTATCAATATTTTCATTGTTTCACAAAAATACAAAGCAATGATAATATATTAATCTATTCACAAAAGAATTCTTTGATCTATAAATCCTGAAGAAAATTCTTCATTTATTACCATGAATAAATTTTGAAAACAATTATATAGACATATTAAAATCAATTGGATTTTCATGAAATCCTTAACTCAATATTATTAACATTTATCATTATTATCATTTTCATTGTTTTGACAATGATACATAACATAATTTTGTACATCTTTTAATGTATAAATTCTAAAGAATTTTCATTATTTATTATCATGGATAAATTTTGAAAACAATTATACAGACATATTAAAATCAATTGGATTTTCAATTGGAATTCTTAAGTCAATGTTATTAATATTTATCAACATTTTCATCGTTTCACAAAAGAGCAATGATATATTACTTATTCATATTAACCTATTCATAAAAGAATCTTTTGATCTATAAATCCTAAAAAATTTTCCATGGAATCAATTAATATATTATATATTATAATTTATATAATTTATATTATAAATACAAAACAATGATAACTTACATATTCATAAACTTATTCATAAAAGAATCTTTTGATCTATAAATCCTAAAAAATTTTCCATGGAATCAATTAATATATTATATATTATAATTTATATAATTTATATTATAAATACAAAACAATGATAACTTATATATTCATAAACTTATTCATAAAAGAATCTTTTGATCTATAAATCCTAAAAAATTTTCCATGGAATCAATTAATAT